TTGTTTCAGAAGGAGCTAAGTTAAGAGAAAGCAGTGGTTTATTTAAATTGCTATATATTTGCTTTACTTACTTTTCTTTGGACTGCTGTATGTGTTATGTACAGTGTAAAAAAAAAAATAATAAATACATACTATACCAACATTTATCTGGCAGTCTCTTTGCTTTGTTTCTTGATAAACCAGTTTCCCCCCAAAAACACCAAAAAACCCCATTCAGATGCCATGTTTCTGCTGCAGAAAAGTTACTAAATGAAAACATTACACCAGGCTTTTCTTAGTAGTTCAGTGAGAGTAGCTTTAATACAAAAAGCTATATATATTCATATATGAAGGGGCTGACATGCTTTAAGCATATCCCCTCCCTGCTCAAACCATCAGCCAGCAGTAGTGTAACACATTTTAAGTTCACAGTTTTCACAATGCCACCAGTTCAGGTGTGTGCTCCCTGTTTTGCAGAAAAGGGTTTTTTTTTTCCCTTGGCTAATTTTTGGTGTTATATTGATAGGCATTTAATAAATAAGTGCACTGACACTGACTTAAAAGCTGTTACTATTCACTATGTATTACACTGATGGTCAAACAAGCTACATAACTGTGCAAAACCTGCAAGGCCACTATACATACATATATATGTATACATCCAATAATTAAAGATTTAGGAATGTATCTTTCATTTGTTTATTCCCATTACACATTCTCCTTCCAAAGCATTAACCTGCTGCACTGAGGTCTTACCAGATGTTTGGCGGTGGTTTAATATTGCATTCCAAATTCTGCAGAGAAGACCACCCCTGTTACAAAGAACAATGGAGAACAGTTAGGGAAAACTCACTCATCTCTGTCACTTCAAGGTGAGCAAGGAGTAAAATCTAGAAATCCCACAGATAAACCAGTTATGACAGTACATGTAAAACACTATACTTGAAGGCTATGGCTAAAACAACTTCTTCCAGGTCAGCCATGGGTTAACTGAATAACGATGGAAGGACTTGAACCAGGGGCTAGGAAAAACAAGTTCTTTGTGCCCGTTTTCCATATGATTGCATCATCCTGAATGGTGCAGAAATAGCTTCCAAGTGTGATAAAAGCCAAGACTTGAAGCACCCCAGGTGGAGTTGTTACTCTGCATCAGTTAAGATGTGATAAACTTTACCAGAAAATCAGAGATTACATTCACAGCAGTTGCTATGGAACTATCACCTATGTGAATAACTTCTAAAAACATGTTTTACAAGCTACTTTAATTAAGCTCTTAGCAATAAATTAAGTACTTTCTTACCGCAGTTGAAGACACCGCAAATCATCTTTAGTGATATCATTAAGCACAGTGCTTAGTGTATAATCTTCTTCAGCAAACTAAAAGGCAAATTTATTTCTAAATTAATATTCTTTCTTTGTAATCAAACTGCTACAATACCTTTTTATAAAAGGTGATATTTTTTTTTGTTGTTGTTTGTGGATTTGGTTTTTTTACCCTCTTAATGGCATCTGAGTCTGCTCCTTGTTGCTTCAGCCAATTCATGAGCTCAGGGTCTGCATTTGCTTTAAAGGTTGCTGCAGACCATTGGGTGTCTTTGACAGAAAACAAAAATATAGGTTAATACACCTCTAAACTAGGACAAAAATGGTGGGTTTTTTCAGACTACAGAAGCTTAAAATAGTCTTTATCCTTTAAACAAACACATGATCCACTATATTTCTGTGCAACTGTCAAGCATCTCCTCCTACCTTCAGGTTTAAGTTTTAATTGAAACAAGCGTAATTCCTGAGTTCTTTGCTCCAAAGATTGTCGTAAGAGGGTCTGATACTCTTTCTCTTTCTGAACAAGGTTTTCCAAAAGCCTGTCAGCATGTGAGAGAGATAAAACACTGTCACACTGAGAGTAAGTCTAACTGAAAAAAATATGTAGCATTTTTTAATAACTACCAAAGGACAGAGACACAGGACATATACTGTCTTAAGTAACTTTCTGATTTACAGATTTCATTTTGGTTGTCTGAGACTCAGCTTGGTGGCACTTAAAAGCTTTCATCTTTGTGGAATTGTAGCAAATAGCTTGTAAATTCTATTCTTACTGTTTTGCAGCCTCCCTGGGCCTTTATACTGTAATTTGCTGCTGAACAGTGTAACACTGATGTTGTACCAGGGATTTCCTGATCACAGATTTATATCACATCCATACAGAAGAATGCGACCTTCGGCTGCTAACATGCTGGCAGCAGCATACAGATTTAACCCTTGAGAAAAGGGACAGGAGCTCTGTCAAGTGCTGCGTGTGCCTATTAGCAGGCAGCCTGTCCAGTGGGCCAGGACAGAGCTGTTGTGGCCTTTCCTTGCAGAAACAGCTTTGAGGGCACTGCCACTGTGGCAGGTGACATCCAAGGATGTAGGAAAGAAACCAGCACAGTTACACAAGGCTAATTACTTACCACTAGAAATCCAACATGACATTCTACAAATAAAATATTAATTACACAGAAACAAAAGTTGCACTGAAGGCTTGTGAAAGTTGTCAAACCAGTACTGCCAACTTATTCTAAATCCATTCATGTTCCTAGAAGGTTGGCATTATTAATGAGAGTCATACCAGGTGAGCAGTATTTATGTCATTTATGTACATGTCACTGAAAGAAACATCTGGGTTTTTAAAAAACTGCTTGAAAATAAATCCAGTCTTTATTGGAGGGTTACCTTGAGGTCTCTTGTTTAAGTCTGCCCAATTCCAGGCTCAGTTGCTGCTGAGCTTCATGTGACACCTCAGAACTAAGGGTGCCAACTCCCGATGTGATAGTGGGATCCTCAGCCCCATTTTGTTCAGTAGGCTGGTGACCATCCTCCACTTCATTGCCATCTTTGTCCCCACCTTCAATTTCTAACGCTGGCTCAAAGTGAGCTCGAAGCTCTGGTAAAAGGAAACAGTATTAGAGATTTTCTGGACAAATCATGTCTTCAGAGATACTACAATTTGTTCTTTGTTGCTGCAGGGGGAGGAGCTTAAGCTGAGGAAGTGGGCTGTGTGCATCAGGTGCTTTATTGCAGTACTGAGCAGGGGAGTAGCAAAGCTTCATGCAGCCTGGGCCACAGATTCTCTGGCATCAATTCTAAAATGGGTGGCATTGTAATAGCTCACCTGTAGTGTATCAGTAGAGATAGATAGCTGTAGATTACAGCTGTAGAGGTGAAAAATACATTTATGATGAAGTCACTAATAAGATAGTTAATAAAATGTATTAATGAGAAATCCCTGAAAGCTTGAGTTTTTTTGAAGAAAAGAAAAAAAAAAAAAAGGAAAAATGCCCTGGGCAAAGAGTTTACAAAGCCTTCTATTTCCAGGTAGCATTTCTAACCCCATGTCTCTCAGAACTTGCTGTATGTGGCCATCTTTCCCACCAAAGAGTAGCAGGCATTCTTCTACAATTGAAGTCCTAAAAAATGTTGCCAGTTTGGCTTGAAAGCTTAAGTGACTTCAGTTGGAAAGGGCTCATCATCAGTAAGTGCTCTCAGAACAGTCTCATAGAATCACAGAATGGGTTGGAAGGGACCTCAAAGCTCATCTGCATCCAGTCCCCCAGTATGGGCAGAGGTTGCTCAGAGCCCCATCTAGGGACGGCTTCCACAACTTCCCTGGGCAGCCTGTTCCAGTGTCTCACCACCCTCACACTAAAGAATTTCCTCCTAATGCCTCACCTAAATCTCCCCTCTTCCAATTTTAAAACATGACCATACTGGAAAGGGTGCTCAGCATTTCAAAGAGTTACAAAATTACTTGCCATTCTCAATGTAGACTTTTTCCTAGACAGTTTAGTAATTTCTTCTCCTCCTTCTCAGTGGTGGTGATTTTTCCTACTATCCATCTGTAGTCCAAAATCATACTCCTCCTCGTATTAATACAGCCCCTGCCCTGCATCTGTTCTACAGCTCAGTAATAATTTTTCAGAACACACAGCCAGACTTGTGCCATGTTACCCACCTTGGATGTCATTAAAATGGTGCCCAGAGTAATTTTCTTTCTTGCTAGAAAAGTTCCAGCATGAACTGAATTTAATTTGCCTTTTATTTTTTCCATGATTGGACCACACTGATGGTGCAGAACCACTGGTTGTCTCTTCACTATGTGCTTTGGTGCTGCAAGTACAGCCTTAATCCTCCAGATCAACACTTCTTCCTGTACAACAGTCTGACACTGTGCTTTTGATGTAGTGGCAGTTAATGGCATGCCAACAGATGAAACATCTAAACTGTTCCATTGGCTGTAACTCTTTGATAGGCCAACCACCTTCTCTTTTGTCTTTTTTTTTTTTTTTTTTTACCCTGGGCAAAGAGTTTACAAAGCCTTCTATTTCCAGGTAGCATTTCTAACCCCATGTCTCTCAGAACTTGCTGTATGTGGCCATCTTTCCCACCAAAGAGTAGCAGGCATTCTTCTACAATTGAAGTCCTAAAAAATGTTGCCAGTTTGGCTTGAAAGCTTAAGTGACTTCAGTTGGAAAGGGCTCATCATCAGTAAGTGCTCTCAGAACAGTCTCATAGAATCACAGAATGGGTTGGAAGGGACCTCAAAGCTCATCTGCATCCAGTCCCCCAGTATGGGCAGAGGTTGCTCAGAGCCCCATCTAGGGACGGCTTCCACAACTTCCCTGGGCAGCCTGTTCCAGTGTCTCACCACCCTCACACTAAAGAATTTCCTCCTAATGCCTCACCTAAATCTCCCCTCTTCCAATTTTAAAACATGACCATACTGGAAAGGGTGCTCAGCATTTCAAAGAGTTACAAAATTACTTGCCATTCTCAATGTAGACTTTTTCCTAGACAGTTTAGTAATTTCTTCTCCTCCTTCTCAGTGGTGGTGATTTTTCCTACTATCCATCTGTAGTCCAAAATCATACTCCTCCTCGTATTAATACAGCCCCTTCCCTGCATCTGTTCTACAGCTCAGTAATAATTTTTCAGAACACACAGCCAGACTTGTGCCATGTTACCCACCTTGGATGTCATTAAAATGGTGCCCAGAGTAATTTTCTTTCTTGCTAGAAAAGTTCCAGCATGAACTGAATTTAATTTGCCTTTTATTTTTTCCATGATTGGACCACACTGATGGTGCAGAACCACTGGTTGTCTCTTCACTATGTGCTTTGGTGCTGCAAGTACAGCCTTAATCCTCCAGATCAACACTTCTTCCTGTACAACAGTCTGACACTGTGCTTTTGATGTAGTGGCAGTTAATGGCATGCCAACAGATGAAACATCTAAACTGTTCCATTGGCTGTAACTCTTTGATAGGCCAACCACCTTCTCTTTTGTCTTTTTTTTTTTTTTTTTTTAAATACTATTTTCAGCTGCTTTGACTTACCTGGAATAAGAATAGTGACTGCTGCTTGGACAGCACGGCGAATTATGTTATCCATTGCAAACATCCAGTGGGGCCTTATTAAGTGATTTCTTAATACTTTGTTTACCTATAAACAAGTAAGCATGTTAAAGTAGCAGCAAACAACATTTGCTTATGCCTTAGGAAAGAAAATCATCTTGGGTTTTAATAGTCAGATTAAGTTTTATAAAAAAACAATTGCATGTGTCACTAAAACCCTCCTGACTTTGGAAGTCTACATAACAGGTTTGACAGTTCTAGGCTAGAGCTTTCAAATGGTACCCAAACTGTAGCATTCAAGCCTCTCTGCAGTACAAGGAGGAAGAGGTGTGAGGAAGAGTAGGGGAGCTGCAAACCCCTGGGGTGAGGCTCTGTCCAGGAACAATTCCTCTTCCCCTGCACTAGATAAGAAACTCACCGCATCCTGAAATCCAAACAGCACCAGATGAATCTGATTGATGGAAGTGCTGTCAAAATCCAAATCCATTTTCAACTTGGATATGGTAGACGCCATCACTCTCTGCTCTGGAGAGTGTATGAAGTCCCTTAAAATCCCAATAATTTGCTTGATGTGGGCTACTGAAAGTTGCAGTTCTTCCGAGCTCTGGAGAAAAGATACTGAATGTGTATCAAGTAAATCCCAGCATCATTGAATATCTAATCAGTAGCATTAGTATTTTTAGGGTTACAATTTGCAGCTTTGCCCATGTACATTTCCCACTGATGCACAGATATCACAGAAATTTTGGTTCTGCAAAGCCTTCATATTCTACCCTTTCCTAGCTATTTTTTTTAAATAGTAATTCCTGTTTTCCGAAAAATAAAGTCTAGTGCTACTGTGGCTGTCATAAAGGGAAGAAGGTCCAGATAATAGCTACATATTTCTGCAATGTACTGCAGAGGGCAGCTCTCCTCCATGAAAAGAGCAGAGTGAATTGGACAGAGACCCAAATTTTTTAGATGCTATCCTTTCAATAAGCTACATCTGGACTTATAACTAATTATGCAGACATTTTATTTCCTTAGGCAAAAATATTTGTTTATATATGCATTTATCATGTCAGAAAAAGGCCTAAGATGACAGCAACAGAAGTCAAGTATTTGTTCTATGATTTGCAGTCCATAACTCCTAGAGTTAAAACCGTCCAAGTGCCTGTAAGAACAACCTGTAAAATTAAAAGGTAAAGAGAGAAGCATTACAGAAATAATGGAAAAGATTATTACAGCAGTGCTGCAAAACAGCTGGCGACTGAGGTAGGACTTGCTGCTACTAAATAATCCTTCTTTATCCTGGAAAATATTTGGAGCTCTGGCTCTTTTGCAGTTTAAGCTCAGAGCAGAAATCTGCCCAAACTGCTTCTCCAGCCCGAGTTTTTGGCCCTTTCTCTTTGGCCTTTAAAGCTCTACAGGAGCCCCCAGGGTGTGGGGTGAGCCAATCTGCACCATGAGGCAGTCTGTGGGGGAAGTGAGTCATGGGGTAGAAGCAAAGCCCTGCGCTCTGTGGAGCTGGCTGCCCACACCAGGCTGGGCTGGAGCTGCCCCAGGAGCTGCAGGGCCCCTGACAGCAGTGATCCAAGTGTCTGTGCCAAGAGCCATGGCTGGCTCGGGACACCACAAGTCAGCAGGCTGCCTTTGAGTGAGTGCAGTCCAGGCAAAAAAACAGCTTTGATGAGAACAGACAACATCAGTGGCACACTAGAAGCAGACATTAAGAAGAAAGGCTAAGCAATCAATCTTACTGGTGTGTGGCATTACTTGGCTACTGGTTAACCAGGCGCATGATTTTTCTTGCTCCTCTTTACAGTCACTAAACCTTCCCATGCAACCCTTCCCTCCACAGAAATCTACCTTAGCTTTTTTGAGATTCATGTGCTGTGTTCTTGGCACCTAGTTTACATATGCTTTGAATTAAAAATATTAATCAGCTCTCCACCCTTAAAGCGAATCATACCTATTACTACCCGATGTTCCATTTCCATGTCCTTAAAAGCCACAACAAAACACAACATCAAAACCACCCAATCCACCAACCTCAACCCCCCCAGTCCAACATCAAATGCCCCAAACCGCCCTCTCAGAAAAAAACGAGCTCAGCAGCTGGCAAAAGGTGGTGTTTGCTCTCCATGCAAATGGCTCACACAGTCACAGTTTCAGAGACTAAAGATATTCAGAAGGTACAACCCAAGCACCATCGTTTAGCAGTTTTCGGAAAAAGTAATAATACTTCCCGGGCTTGTCATTTTCCTTTTGACACAGGAAAAGAAGAGCTGAGGCAAAATTACCTGTGCGATACAGTCCTGCAAATGGGAAGCAACTTTATCCTGTTCTTCCTTAAGGATTTTGTATAGGATTGCTCGGCGCTCGCTGTCCTTCCGCAGCAGAAACAGACCGGAATCCTTATCCTCAAGGGAAGGAGAGGTGCCCCTGTCCTCTGAGGCCGAGCCCTCATCGGGCACGCTGCGGCAGCAACCGGCCCAGGGGCAAGACAGACCTCAGCGTTAGCCACACGGCAGTACTGTCAGGAGCAAGCAGGGGTACTTGGGAGGGTAAGAAGTGAGTAGCACTACAGCAGCAGATCAATCAGACTGGTAAACACGGAGACAGAAGGTGGCTCAGATCCTCAGCTGGCCTAAACCCCACTGCAGTCAAAAGCCCAAGGCTGATTTCATCCCTCTCAGCATCTGGCATTGGTGTCACCCAGCACTGGTTTGGTTTTGGGGAGGAAAACTGAAAGCCCTGGCCTGAGATAATGATTTTTTCTGGCCCCATACTGTAACATACTTATTTGAAAGTATTGCTTTGGGCTCTTTGAGCAGCCTTTCTGCTGCCACTTCCCCACATTTTTTCATTAGTGCATGGAGGGGTTAACTCTTCTGCTAACTCCTGAATCCATATCCATGCACTCAATAGGACAACTGAAACTTACTCACTGGTGGGGGGGAGAGTATAAAAATATGTGGAAACGCTAAGGAGAAATAATAATTGCTCATTAAAAATAATCAATATTTAAATTAACTGGAAACTTGCCTATGCAACTTGCTTGCTGTTTAACACACCTGCTTATCTAGTCACTATGTGAACAAATTGCCCTCAGATAAAATATAATGTGAATTCAGCCCAGGTAATCCCTTATGGATGTCAAGTAACAAGCAAATACTTTACCTCAGTAAATGGGAAATGGGATGCTTCGTCTGAATTTCTGAAATGGATCTCTTTGGCCTTTCAAAAAACATGTCATGCTGTACATCAGAGTCTGGTGAAATGGAGCCATGCTCACTGCTGCTACTGCCAGCCTGTTCTCCATGGATTGGCAGTGGGAGGGATGCATTACGAGTACAATCTATGAACAGACATTGTAAAACATGTAACAGAACTAGGCAGAAAAGGACAGGGTGCTTAAAACAGCTGTGGTCATCTTCAGTGATATCACAACCTCATTTTGCAAAATTGCTGAGAGGTAACCTTGTTGATAGAAAGCAGCAACACAACTCAAAATCATGATATGTACAAGCAATAAAAGGTTTGAACAAAAGGTTTGAACAAGCTAACTTCTGAACCCAAATACAGCAAAGCAGCTAGATACTCATATCAAATCCCATTTTGTTACCCTCTCCTGCACTCACACACATATATACACATGCTCCTCCTTTGGTGCTGGTCTCACAAGTGGTACAACTGGATATACAGCTGTTTAAAGAACCTGAATCAAAACAAGAGGTTACCATCAGTTGCTCCACCACAGCTGTATCGCTAAGCAGAGAGCATTCAGCTGCCCACTCTCCTCACTTTCCTGGTGAGGAGACAGAATGAGCTGCTGAGACTGTGACAACTGCTAGGCCAGGGCCTGCCTTACGCCCCTAAACTCTCCTTGGAGATGGCTGCAGCAGCCAGCACAGCTCCAAGAAAGGCTGGACCTGATGCCAACCTGGTATTCTACAATTCAGTGCAACTAAGCACACGCTCTGCTGCAGCCATTTTGCCTCTCCTTCCCCTCACCCAACAGTTTTCATACCATTTGCCCGCTTTGCTCAGATCCGTGGCCATCACTGAGCTTGCTTCTTGCTGCAACACAACACTTAACTCTGCAGAATTAGATTCTCAGGTCATCTGAAGGTGCTTCATAACCTCATCAGTGAGCAGGAGAAAAGAAAGGAGGAAGGCAGGAGGGAGGGGGTGCAGAAGACAGCTGCATTTCCCCTGGTATTTGACAAAGAGCCAGTTGTTCCCAAGGCAGCTAACAAGGCAAGCTCCACCTTTTCTAATGCCACACAAATTTTCCAGGAAAATGTCCTCAGGCAAGGGCTGCAAAGGCCACAGGAGAGAGTAGCTGAGGTGGGGCAGAAGGCTGCAGCCCGCCAATGGGTCCTGACTGCCCTGGCTGAGCAGTGTGAGCTCTGCCATTACCCCAGTATAACTGCAGGAACTGCAGTCCTCAGTGCCCCTCAGGTCAGGAGATTATGCCCATTTCCTTGCTTACACCAATTCAGCCAGATCTTAAAAATTCTTTGCTAGTTTTGACCTTTGGAATTCCATTC